CTTTTCAATCTAAACAAATAAGAAGATTCTTCAGACAATACATCTTAAAGTTCCTGAGGTTGAGGAATCCTGACCCAGAGAGAGAAATCCCAACCTCCAGATTTTCGGAGGGACCTTTTGATGGGCAGAAATGACCCTCCTAAATGCCCCCAGATTTGTTGTTAAAACGTGGCGGCCTTCTGGAAGGGCATGAAGATGCGGCCGTGCCACCTGGCCTGGGGATCTGATAGCGGTGGTATGAAACTTGCAAACTGGCTCTCCTGTTAGTGAAATGGATGGTGCTCTCCTGCAGATTACGATCTTTATGATTTTAACCATTTTCATTGTGTTTTAAAACGGTTTTTGGTTGTTTGTTTCTGGTTATTATTTTTTTTAGCGTTTTCTGTGTTTTTCATTTTGTAAGCGCCCCGCCCCCACAAGTCACGTCTATGAGTTGGGCAGCTCTATAAATTGAACAAATGAATTAATTGAACAAACAACCAAATGGCAAAATGGACCTGTTTGATCAGGGACAAGACCCCACGTACTTTTATCAGAGACTGGAAATCTCTTGTGGACTTTTTGCTGAACGTGGAAAAAAATGAACTCGTGTTTTATGGATCTGCTGATCGAAAAGGGTTGAATATGGGAAGGAGAGAATTAGGATGTAATTTTAATGAGGGAAGAATAAAGATCGTAACTGCTGAAAAGAAGATCAGAATCTCTTCTTTATGTATCTTTTCTTTCTTTTCTACTTGTATTTCTTTTTTTCTAGACTTTATTTCCTTACGCGCACTTTTCTTTTTCTTTTCTGTAAACTTATCTCATATCCTTTCATGCTTATTTTTTATTTCTCTGATTTTTTCCCAATAAAAATGAATAAGAAACAAACAATCTGGCAAATAAATAAACTGAGTCAGACGAGGGGCTTCCAGAATTAATTTCACCTCCACTGGATCTGGTGGAACGCTTCATCTTGCTGTAGATGTAGGCCTGTGTCTATCCACACACAGAGGAAGAGAATTATTCTGCAATCTTTCACCCGCAAATATATGAATGTGTTGCAAGATAGGCGTGCAAATATCACTAACAGAGAGAGAGACCCTCTCCTGCACACACCTCGGCTTCTTCTCTTTCCCAACACCGACCCCCTCACCTACGATGTCAGGTCTGTCGTCGATCAGCACGTGTCCAGAGACAATCGTCTTATCCCGGGTGAGAACCACGTGCTCCAGAAATTCCTGCCCAAAATGCTTCTCTATCCAAGCCAACTGGAAAGTAGCAGAGGAAACAATGGTGAAACCATTTGGGTGCATGACGGGAGCAGAGCTTTTGGGGATGGGAGAGTGATAAACCACGTATGCTAACTTTTCCCACCAACAAGCCAGCTCTGAGAAGGAAGGGAGCTGGAAGGCGAGCTTAAGTCAGACCAATCCCTATAAAATGTGCAGCGTTTAGCACGAGAAGAAAAACAGCACCTAATACGAAAAATGATCATAATCACAATTCTTATGGCCTAACAGATGAGTAACCCAAGATTCATTGAGTAGGTTTTACCTTTTCATACGGGCAATAGCGATACTTCCTGATGGGACTTGTGCATATGAAGACATCAGTCCTATCATAAAAAGACATATACAACATTCTGATAGCATACACACAAACGACACCAGGAACACACTCAAAATCTTAACAACCCTCCTTCTTAGTGGCTTTCCTCCAAAATTTCTTCTAGCTGCGCACTGGGACTACGAAACCGCTGGGAATTGGGGCCTGGTTGGAAAGGGGCATATCTCCTCTCCAAGCTTGCAAAAGAATTGAGAGAAGACCTTGGGGGAAGTGTAAAAGAACCGTTAAGGAAGGCCTTGGTGAAGAGATTACACAATAGGAGGAAGGGTGAGAAAGAAACTCAGGATAACCCCGCCTTGGTTTTGTCTAGTGCAAGCTGAGACGGAGAGAAATTTAACCGGCTTTCGTGATTCTGTTATTCTACCTGACTGCAACAAAGCAGATTCCTGGAGTCCTCTTGGTGTTTGGTTCTTGACCTGGCCTACCTCGAAGGGCTGACAAAGTCCCTCCAAACTTCCCATTCATGAGAGCAGCAGACACAGTTGGGCATCCAGTTTGTGGCAGAGCTTTTTCTCCACTTGGGACATTTCCCACTCAAACACTGGAACCTTTCTGGAAGGGGTTGGGTTTCTCATCCCCTCCCCTCCACCATGCTGGTTTCCCTTCTACAGGACCTTCCCCTCCCACCAGACCTGACCGGCAAAGCCAGTGATAAGTGATCTAGCGAAGCACTGAGGGTGAAACATCTGGAGAACTTCCTGCTATTCCCGCTTTATGGTGTCGTACTTACGCTTCTAATTCTGCCATCTGCTTCAGGGCTTCCACGGCCCCTGGAAGTGGATCCAGCTCCATGAAAAAGTTCTTTGACTCCCAAATACTGATAGCTTTTTCCTGCACGGGGTGGAAGAGAAGACACAGATGCACACACCAGCACGCGAATGCAACCAAGGACAGGTGACTTTTCTTCAGACACCTGGAATCAAGGCCATCGACTGGAAACCCCATTCGGAATGCAGAAGAGGTGCGGATGGCACTGCCAACCGGAGGACCGAAGCCAGGCTAGGATACGGAATGCCACTATGAGCCAGAGGAAGCCTAAACTGCGCAGGGGATGGAGAACATCACTGCAGCTGGGTGCGAACCTCCCCGGCAGCCTGAGCGGAACGGGGTGCTTTGCCTGGGGCCCACCCCCAAGCTCCCCTTAAGTTTTCCCCAGAGGCAAACTGAGAACCACGGTGGGTCGGAGGGCCGAGAATCAGAAAGGCTTTGCAAGACCCGCGGCCACTTATCCGGGAGCAGCGATGCTATCCAGACGGGAATGGCGCGCCACCCACCCGCTCCACTCC